AGCTTTGAAAAACATGCTAGGTATAGCGGGAAAACGGTGCAGGTCCAGCTGGCTGGGCTTGTGGAGCCACGTAAACATGTAGGTCCCTGAAGGAAGAAAGAAGAAGAAAAGAAAAACTTATAACAAGCCGCGTAAACGAGCATCCTGGTTCCCGAAGTCTTTGTCTTGAGTTCCGGATTTAGAGCTGACTCTAAAATGAACAGTACCTAGGCTACCTAAAGGCACCCAAAGGTACCTAAAAGCTAAGGCGTCGTCGTGAAGCAACATATACCATTCAGATGGAACAGCCAAAATAAGAGGTTAGATAAAGTTTCAATAATGGAGTAAAGAAATGACTCTGCATTGCGTACAATGTGACACTGTCATTTGAGGAGTCTTAGTATTATGCCACGAAGACACGATCGTCTTTCTTGCATGTAGCATAGTGTGTCTGGTCCAATGGGTGGAATACATTATTTGAATACAAGGCGTAAATGGAAGAATTCGGGAAGGTCAGGGGTAAACAACCTCTTAAAAACCACTTGCCCGCCTTACTCCACTGAGGGACACTGTTTGCCTGTGAGGGGTTAAGCAGCTCCTGCTGGATGGATCTAGGTACCTAGACCTAACCTAGGAGGTACCTATGTAAGTGCTAAAAAAGGGAATCACCCCACCTTACCCACGCTGTACCACGCTTCTCATTCTTCTTATTGTTGCTGATAACGTGCTGTTTCTTCTACGATAAGAGCCCGACCCTAATTTATTATGGGGTCTCACATGGTCAAGTCAGCTAAGACTTTGCGAGGGGCCACCCGCGGGCCATCGCAACCCTCTTGTCCCATTATTCCAACCCTCCACCCAGTATCAAAAACTTATCCAACCACCTAATGGTTGGTATGTTGTTATCTTGTCTCATCTCTCATCTACATACATATCATATAATCAATAACTATCCCAGCCGCCTTTCTACTGGGTCAGTTCTAGTTTACATGCATGATTTCGTAAAACATTAAATGCCGGAGGCTCTGCTTAGTCGAGCTGGATTCGAATTTTCCCTCTTCATCACTAGTCTTTGAGGAATAGGTCTGTCAGATCAGCTAAGCGCTACTTCAGCATATCGCCGCAAACCGCATTGGGTAGTCCGTACGCCACCTCGAATAACAAATTGGAACTGGTACTGGGGCGAATTTGGACCCCTTTCCAACTTGTAATCCGTGCAGGCTGATCGTCGTGTTACTTTTACCTCCTTTTCCAGCTCTTCGTCTTTTACTTTCTCTTACCGCTGCCAAAGCACTACAGCTGGCTGGTACTACATTCGTTTATCTCTTTGGAATGAACACAGTTGGAAGAGTGAGTGCGAGACAAACCATGGTAGTCTCAATCAGCACTTGAACTCCTCCGGTGACTGTTAAGAGAACAAGAGAACACAGAAACCCTGCTTGGGTTCTAGTTTATGTATTACCTTGGTCCTTTTCTGGCTATCTTAATTGATTTAGGGACTATTCGAAATTCCCGCATCTCGCAACGACTTTCCCGGTAGCAGATTAGCAACAATAGTACGATAGCCGAATACAGGGTCATTCGTCCTAGTCTATTGCTTTTGTCCTTCATTTTCTAGACCTTCGTTGTTTTGCGAAAGCCTCCTTGTAGGAGACTTTGGGTTCCTAATTGAGGCTTCACGCAATACATCTATCAACCAATTGCCCACAATGCCCACCATGGCCGATATTACTCCACCCGATCCAATTGACGAGGAGTCGCCTGGCGTCGTGCCACTCGAGGGCCGTCCTAAGGAGAAGCGCCGCCAGAGACTTCTCCAAGGCATTCAACGCATGTCTTCCTCTCCTTCGTTACAACAAAACGGTCGTTCTCGGTCTTCGAGTTCCCCGTATGGCATGCGAGGTAGTTTATCATGCGCGAGTCTCGCGGCGACGCCCGCTTACGGACAATACACTTCTGGCAGCGTTACGCCGGGCTATTTTTCGAATGGCCAGTCTTCCATACCCGGCAGCCCGGCTGTTGAGCACCCTGGGTTCGATGGCATTGAAACTCGTATAGCACGCAGAGTTCCCAATGTTTCTACGACGCAATTAAATCCGACTACCGTCTCTCTACCCGTTGATATCGCGGCTACGAGGTCCAGATCCGGCACGGTTCGGAAACTGCCTTTTGACTTCTGGGCTAGAATGCCCGACGAGATTCGACTTCATATTTTTTCCTACCTCCGGCCGAAAGAGCTCATCCGTATTTCGCGTACAAGCAAGGAATTCCAGAAGTTCTGTTTTGACGGTCAATTATGGACTCATTTCGATGCTACCGAGTTCTATATGGAAATACCTGCAGAGGCTCTAGCCAAGATCATTCTTGCGGCAGGTCCTTTTGTGAAAGACCTCAATATCCGCGGGTGTCTCCAAATTGAGCATTACAAGCGAGCCGAGGTCATTGTCACGGCCTGCAAGAATTTGATCAACGCAACTTTAGAGGGCTGTCGAAACTTTCAACGGACTACTTTGCACAATCTCATCAAGTCTAACGAGGGGCTTGCCAACTTGAACCTTACAAGTATGACAGCGGTAACAAATAGCACATGCAAGATCATTTCCCAGCATTGCCCCCAGCTTGAATCTCTCAATGTCTCGTGGTGCAAGTACATGGATGCTCGTGGGGTCAAAATGGTAGTTCTTGGGTGTCCAAGGCTACGAGAACTAAGAGCTGGAGAAATTAAAGGCTTTAACAGCATTGGGGTAGCAGAGGCTATATTCACAACGAATAAGCTCGAGCGGTTAGTGTTGAGTGGTTGTGTGGACCTCGACGACGAAGCCTTCAAAACCATGATCCATGGTACCGAACCCGAAATCGATATCTTAACGGATCGACCGGTAGTTCCACCGAGGAAGCTTCGGCATCTAGATCTAAGCCGGTGCTCACAGCTGACCAGCCAAGCTGTAGGTGTATTGGGTCACCTCGTTCCTGACCTACAAGGTTTACAATTAAGCGGATGTACTTCGTTGACCGACGCGGCTCTACAACCAATTCTTGCCTCGACTCCTCGTCTTACCCACCTGGAATTAGAGGAGCTATCAGAACTGACCAACGATTTCCTCTCTGAGCACTTAGCTAAAGCCCCGTGCGCTCCAAAGCTTAAGCATCTTTCTGTAAGCTATTGCGAAAATCTCAGTGACATTGGTATGCTGCCTGTTATGAAGAATTGTGTCAGCCTGGAGAGTGTGGATATGGATAACACGCGAATCGGCGACCTGGTTCTCACAGAAGCCGCGGCTATGGTTAGGTCTCGGTCAGCCAGGACACCTCTATCTGCTTCACGTCCTCATATTGGTCTCAGGCTGGTTGTATATGACTGCCAAATGGTGACGTGGACCGGTGTCCGAGAGATCTTGTCTTGGAACGCCGAAATCCGGCGACCTTCTGAGAGGTCGACTACATATCCCACCGAAATCATAGGCCTCAAATGTTTCTACGGGTGGCAGCAGACAGTAGACCAGCACACGCTGCGAGTGCTGAAGGGCGACTTTGCTGCCGCTGCGAGGCTGGAGAGGAAGTGGGCAGATTACATGCAAGCTGTCGAGGAAGCAGGAGCCGGGGGTGCTGGCTCCCGGCGGCGCCGACGTCGCGCTCGGGCCGCTCAGATGCTACACGCTGACGAAGAAGGAGGACCTGCCGCAGGTCGCCGTCGGGCACGAACCGTAGCGGCTAATTGCGTCGTCATGTGACACGTTGTTTTTATGGCGTATATCGGTGCATCATAACCCATACTGTCGGAGTTGGAGGCTCTAACCAGGTCGGGCCTGGTTATCACTTATTCACTTTTTGCGGAGTCAGTTCATCCACAAATTTTGGCTGGTTGTACGGGAGTTATTAACGGCGTTTTCTTATTGCTGCCGCCATAGGCATCGATCTACCTATCTGTCTGTCCCTTTAAGAAGAATGTCGTTGCATAGTGTATTTGTCTGTGTATTAGGGATGGACAGGTGGTCCATTCACATCTCCCTTTGAGATACAGTATTCAAAGGGGATATGTCATATGCCGCTTGCAGCTCTTGTCGACTCTTCATTCGAGTCCGTCTCTACCGGTGGTGCCATACTTTTTTATATAGGTTTACGGGGAGGGCTTTTGTATATTTCAGTATGCTGAATATCAGTGCTATGAATCGGGAAGACGGATTCCACGTCCCATAATACCTCTTATGGGCTCTACAGACTGCAATCATTTAGATGTTATACTTCTGAACGACAGCCAATTTAGAAATATTCCTGGGCGACTAAAATAAGCTACATCCTAAGATCACCTCGAAATGCCGTCATTGAATCTCAAACAACACGAGGAGATGTGAAATGAAAGTGCGCAAATTCAATTTCTCTATGTACGTAGTCGAGCTCATAGTATTAGGTACATGAATAAACACTGGCAAAGCAACTATCAACTAGATTGTGAGGCTAGGCTAGTTTCATGGGGGTGTTCTCTTTTTTTTCGGTATTTCTTTTTTTTTTTCCTTTTTTTTGATGGATTTTCCTGTTACCCTATTGTAGGATCTTATTCTGAAACGCGCAGTGGTAAAGGTCTTCTCACCCCCAGACCATAAAATGGAAAATACAACACGAAAATTCTCCTGTCCTCATTCTCATTACTCTCCTTTAGGAGTTTGATGTCGTGCGAGTAAGATGGCTAGATGCCTCGTCGAAAATCAACGCCATAAGAGAAAGCACATATCAAATCAATCAATAGGTCTTTGACTCGCCGGAGACCGTCTCGAACTCAATGTGTCTGTCCTGACCAATTGATATCTATACCAATTGGTATAGAATCGTGAAGAAAGTCAGTCCCGAATTGGAGTTCATATAATTGGATTATACATTAGTACGTCTTTTGTTGCTTGACGTGGGTTTTTATTTCCGTTTGCTCTGTCGATATATGCGAAAAAGCCAAAGCAAGATAGGCAGGCTTCTTAATTATTAGCCTTTGACACCAGATGGGTTGGCACGCAAACCAAGGGTTTATGCACTCAAGATCCTCGGGGACGGCATTGGTGTCGGAAGGTAATTCTGTCGAGCCATAGGTTTTTGTATCGATCATCTCGGAATAGCTTCTCGTCGTGGTAAACGATCGACATGTCGAAATATTTGCTCAAGTAAGTTGCAACCCACTTGAACCGCTCGTTCTGCTCGACCTCCTTTTTTGAAGATCCACTTGGAACAACAACCTCAATATCGATATAACTCCATTGGCGTACATTGTGGTTCGGAGTCATATATCTACGGTCTTGGTCTTTATTCACAAACACGTATCCCTCTCGCGATGAATAATATGTCGAGCAGCAGGTAAAGACTGCGTCAAGTAATGCTGAGCATACATTCTGACGACGGTAATCAGGATGTACAACCACTGTGAGCTTCCCACAGGGCATCGCATATGTCTTGTAGGAGCCAAAGATGCCTCTTACAGCGACGTCCATCACGGCAAATGCAATGACGGGTCCATTGTTCTCAGCGGCGGCATTATACCAGCCATCGACGGCAACAAAAAATGGCATGTTCTCGGTGCAGCACCCATCATAGATGTTGAACCACTTGTGATGGCCGACTTGTCTCTTGTCCGGTAGCTTATAACTGGCGTCCATCTCTTCATTATACAATGCCGCTACCTGCATCATATCGTCTCTCCTGGCCGGTCGGAGGTGGCACGGCACTCTGATCTCACGCGGATTGGAGACTTTTTCAGGGTAGACTAGGCGGACTTCAAGGCGCTTCCTAGGCACGTCCTCTTCACTTCTGTACTCCCTTTTTGGTTTGAGTTCCTCGGGCAATGAGTCCTCCGTAAGAGGCTGAGCATTATCCTTAGGTTCTACCGGGTTCTCCTGGACTAAATCAAGTTAGTAATAGGCCTAAGATATTATTACTAAGGAACCGTATACATACCTATACCTTGCACTTCGGAAGCAGAAATCACCGGTGCCATGAGACGGCCTGTTTCGGGGTCTACATCGCACCGTTCTGGACTTGTAACCCCTTCTGGATGGAGATCCACGGTAATCTCACGAGTTGACTGAATCCAATTCTTGACGTATTTCTCGGCATATTTTGGTAGGCACGAAAACTTTTCAATGGGTGGAGATTCATCCTCCGCCGTCTTAGCATGCTTGTGGTCCTTCAGTCCGACATTACATCCGGTATTCGCCCGCGCATCATTGGGGTCGTGAAGCCGGGAGTTTCTCTCGACAGCATCTACTAGGGTGGTAGTAGCTAGTGCCTTAGAGACTTCATGTACAACGTCAGAGTCAACGGGTTTGTTTGAATTGTCCAATTGCTTTGCAACTGCATTTGAGTTATGCTGACTCTCATATAGGCTAGTAAGCGCGGTCAACTGTTGATCGCTTTTGGTCTCATTGGCATCCTCTTTTGGCGCCCAACGGCTTTGCGATAGCCCCCCGCGCTTTGGTAGACTACGCTCAATCTTGGCAATTGGTTGAGCTTTAACTTTGTCGGTAGTTGAGTTATTAGGGCGGCGAGTCCCGTTTGTAGTATCTTTAAGCGAGGTGCTATCATTAGTTCCTGAGGAGCCAGGCAGTTCATGCACATTCTCTTGAGGACGCTTGACGCTGTAATCGGCTGTGTCCTCTTGAACTTTGTTAGGTAGATTTACGCCAGAAGCTTGGCCAGAAGCTTGGCCAGTAACTAGTTGAGAGTTGTAATGGCCCGTCTCTGGATCGTAGACGTCGATCCACGTCTGTCGCTTAGCTGGAGCCATTTCTGCATAAAAGGTAACCATTAGCATCAAATTACATCTCATAGAAATATTTTTGTCGCACTATAGGTGGAAAGGGCAGGTCACGCTTGGGACACGCGACGTCCTTCGAAACCTATAATTCAGAAAAAGTGACCCGAGAAAATAAGTTGCAAGATTCACAGGACTTAGTTAGGGATATGGATGTGTGGCTCGTTAACTTACCTGCGATATTGACCCTGTATCAGGTATCTTCGGATGATTGCTGACCAGTTATCTAGCCTTAAGTATGATAATCACTAAGAGTGCTCTCGGGTTTCATAGATAAGAGGAATTAATAATTCCTCTGCAAGTTGAAGTCGAAGGAAGAACGCCTGCGAATAAGTAAGACACGAAACGTTAGGGACCTATGAGCAGGAAGTCGGGTTGCTGGTTCATCAATTGATTACTGTAGGGGAATGAAGAGGAAGGAGATGGTAAAGAGAGGATGAAGAGATGATTAGAATTAGAAGGAGCTACTCGTTCAATCGTGGCTCGTTTCAAGATGGGTATGGGCAGGATGGGTTCTTTCCTAAGGGGGTGCAAAACATTAAAAAAAGGTAGGCACTTACTCTCGTATCACGATGGGAAACTTTATGTACGTTTCAGGTAATGAACACAACTGACGACTGGCAATAACAAAGGTTAGCGAGGTGTTGACCTTGGTTTCGAAGAAACTACCTGAAATCAAGATAGAAATACATACCTAAGGTACCTAATGTACTCAGAAAGGCGAGTAGACAAGACAAAAGTACTAACCCAACTCGATTCTTCTCCTGTTACCCTGGTGAAGTACCTTCTGATGATAAGAGTGAAGGAGATGGTCTGCGTATAGGTAGGTAAGGTTCGATGCCTAGTAGGAAGCTGCTAAGCATCCGTGTTTCTTGTTGTGTCCCACCAGTCGTGCTTGTAATGAAAAACAGATATGACGTAAGTGTATAGAAGAGAGAGAAAGATGGAAAGATCAACCTAGAAGAATTTATTGGCTAATGCGCAGCTCTGACTACCAAACAGGGTTGGTTGGTGTAGAGACATGGAAGGAGGTAGATTGGGTAATGAGGTAGGTTCCATAACACACGTAAGTAGTGGATGACGGGGATAGAGAGGGCACTTGAAGCAGTAAACTAGGCTGGTCTTGCGCATCGCCTGGGAAACTTTGAGATTTGTGACTCCGCCCTAACACTTTTTCACGGGCCTAACAATTTAGTATCGTACGTATACGTACGTGAAATATTCGGGGACTTGGCAGTGTTAAATATGCGGTCCCTCGTGTATAGCACATTAGATGATACCCCAGTGTCCCCTCGTGCTAATACTTTGTATTTGTGAAGGGGAGGTACTAGCACAGCCAGAAAAGTGTTCGCAGGGTGTGTATACCAAACTCGCGAGTTAATGAGTTCCTCCGGAGCTAATCCTACTATATAGTAATAGACGAACAACTACAATAGCTAAAGCGTTATGGTTTCCAATACGAGACATAGGTAAATCAGACAAGACATGTCGATACAAGTTCAAGAGATACTTAGGATAAAGAGAGAGAAAAAGGGGTACGAGGGTCAAGTGGTACTAAAATATGTCACATAAGGCTTGCGGGCACTTTACTTCCGGAATTGTATGTGCCAATGCATTCATTAGAAGATTTGGTTATGAATTAGGGACTTTATGGTACTACACTGCCTGATGACTATTCAGAAGAAAGGAAAAGGGGAAAGAAAATATACGCATACAAGTTATACCATCTTACATTATAGAAAGTTTCATTGGAAGTTGGCATGTAGCAAATCTATTAAATTTTGGTCGAAGGTCTTCATTCACACGTGGCTTTAGACTTCTCATCGTTTACCATAATTACCTAGGTAGTTTATTTACCCACAGCACGTTAAAAAAAGCCCCAGTGCAGAATAACTTGCAAGTTTTCTCGCGAAGATGGAAGGGAGAGGAAAAAGAAAATAACTTGGTCCTACAACATCTAAAATCGGGCTTTAGTATTCCCCTTCTACTCTTTTTTCTTGGTTTTATTAAGGCTACCACTTGGGTCTTTCTCATGATATTAAAGGAAGCACATGTCCCATGGCACTTTAACACTATTCTTATTAAATACATCACTTCGAAATTGCCGCTCATCCTTAATGTAAAACTAGATAGTCCGAAGGATACCTAGCTCCAAAGATACATGAAGTTGGTCATTGTGAGGTGTATGGTATCGTGTAGGCAAATCGGAAACCCCCGTTCTCTGGAAAGTTGGATTATGAGGGGAAAAAACGTCTTCATTGACCCTTTCATATACATAAGTTGTTAAAATTTGGTAACATGTGATTTGAACGGGTCTTCCTATTTCGGCTACACTGCTAGACAGCCGAAAATATTTCCCCCACGATGCAAAAAGACTAGGTAAATGCTCCATTTCGCGGAAAACGTTTGGAAATGCAGGTGCGCAGAAGACCAAAAGAACGAGCACCATTTCGGCACCACACCAAAGTGCCATCCGGGATATAGCATAAGTGGCATCCTGGGTCTGAAAGTACTGCACCGTCACGATCAATCGGAAGACACCCGAAATAAAAGCCCTATATAAATATTCCATGAGATTCCAAGTTAACAAATCTGAGAGAATCACTTACAAAACGCCAATAGCAAATACTAACGAAATGCTGATCTTTCTCCTTGTCGTCATATTAAGTTTCCAAATAACGGTATGAGGCAGGATTAGAATAAGAGTGTGTGAGGCGATATTGATACTAGCTGCTGAAACATCTACGGCTTTCCTGTTGAAGCACTTTCCAGGCACCGTTTGGTCCCATATCTTTTCATGTGGAGTACAAGACAGGTTCGCTACAATAAACGCAGAGGTGTAGAATAAGACGTTTATCAATATTAGAGCATAGCATGTCCACTGTTATTGCTACATTAGTCCAGATAAGATTTAAACATAAATGGCAATGGAAAGTGTAAAACGTTATAGATATCTCAGCTCTCACTATATTGTTCACCTGGGGTAAACTCTTGGAAGGACGTTAGGACTTTCATGGGCACTTACGTGGAAGAAACCACGAGTTCCTTGCGGAACAAATATTCGCGTCCACTCTAGAAGTATGGCAACTTTCAAATTCATTATTACGATGCTATGAGTTATAGAAGCAATGCATTTCACACCCTAGAGGTCGTTAAGGATCATGGATTCGACACGTAAGAGTGTTATACCTTTGAGTGTGCCCGGGGGGTGATAGGAAGTTAGGAATTGGTCAGAAGGTTCGGCGAGAAGGCATTTGCCTAGCATGTACGCAAGCATCAATGATATTTCCTATCAATAACCCCTAGAGAAGCATGAAGGGAAGAGAAGCCGGCCGCGAAACAAGACGTTATTAAAACGAGATTAGCGACGGGAAATGAATGGCGATGATTTTGCGTGAGAAGAAAGTCGAGAGTACCAAGTTAATACTTAGATGGGTGTTGCGAAGTATGTACTTATACCCCGAGGCCCTGACTGACCAGGGGTACATGGAAAACCCTCCTATTCGGAAGTATTTCAAATCGATCCTTAATTACCGGCCGTTTTCTTAATTAAAGCGCGGCACCCTCTGGGTGCCCGGAGGCAAAAGCCAGCACTAATAGGGATATATGAAGCCTCGTAGACAATGCCGACACTGGACAGAGGCTCTGCTACTTAGTACCTAGGTACGTACGGTTAAAGTAATAAGAGCTAATCGGTCTTGATATTTCTCTAATCCCATGTACTAATGACATTTCTTCTTATTTACAATATCTCCCTCATATTCACACCATCGAGATTTTTGGCTTAATTGCCCATCTTTCTCTTATACATATACTAGCCTCATCGTCCTAATCGACATGACCCCAGATTTGAAGCTCGATTTCTACCCCGCATCAGACCCCAACCGTACAGGGGTTCTCGTGCTCCCAGGCGGCGGGTACGAGTTTATTTCCATGGATAACGAAGGAACGGCTCCAGCACGATGGCTCAACGACCACCGGTTAGACGCGTGGGTACTCTCATACACGACCGCCGGTCCGTCAAGCCCGGCACCCATCTTCCCGGCTCCACAACGCGAAGCACTTGAGGCCGTGCGGCACATTCGGGCATCGGGGCGTGTTGATAGGCTAGGAATATGGGGCTTCAGTGCCGGCGGGCATCTTGCAGCCGTGACAGCGACGGATCCCGGTGCAAACCTAGATTTTGCGATCCTTGCTTATCCGGTTATCAGCATGGCGGCCGGTACGACCCATGAGGGCTCACGACGCAATCTGATCGGCGACGGGTGCGAAGCTGGTAGTGACGCCGAGAATGCCATGTGCGCTGAGAAGCGCGTCGACACGAACACGCCGCCAACATTCCTGTTCCACACCGCAAACGACGATGTAGTGCCAGTGCAAAATACGTTGGGGTTTGCTGCGGCGATGGCCAAGCACAAGAGGCCATTTGAAACTCTTATTCTTCCAGCTGGTCCACATGGGCTAGGGTTAGCACTCGGCGATGAACGGTTGGGTTGGACGAGTGAATTAGAGAGATGGTTGAAGTTTTCCGTTTTAAATGTTTAGACTCTTACGCAGAGCATCTTATTAAGAGTTTATGCTTCCAATGTTCAGCAAAAACTGGAAGAATCCGCTAAACTTGGGCTTCTCTACCTAGGCATAGTTAGAACGTAGATACTTGATACACCTATGCTATTTCCGATAGTCAGCTATCGACTATATTCCATGAGGACTATGTCGAAGTATACTCTACATAAAAGAAGTAAGGCTTAGCACGACTGCTGGGTCTCAACCCTTTCACCGGCTGCGCCATTTTATTGATAGAAAGGGTTATATAAAGTATTTGCTGCTTCATTCGTGTAGGATCGATGTAGTTAAGTTATAGCATGACGAAAGCTTCTGAAGCGATACTGGCATTCTTCCAAGGCCAGAGGGCAAACCAACACCGGTGTGGAAAGTGGAAACAGTAGAAACGAAGAGGCCTAAGAATCAGGCTATATCCTACGGGAATGTAGAGATAGATTTAGAAATAATTGGCTTAGTTAACTCCATCTCACATGCTACCTTACGTACTTACGCGGCCTAGTAACTTCTATTGGTGTGAGGAATCACCTAGTAAGTTAATATTGATCGTGATAGCCGGTCTGACTGGTCCCGTAAAGAATTACGAAAAATTATATTGAATCCTTTAGACCGAGAGGTCTCTGAAGGAACATGGTATAACCAACAAAATACCACACAGGGTGGTAATTTGGATGTAGGTACCATTACCGTAGTCCTAGTGTACCTCTCCTACAGTAGTCACCTGGCTTTCGAGATCCCGTATACGTAGAAGCGGCTATTAGGCCGATGCGTAGTGACGCTGCTGTAGCACGGATCTTCTATGTAGTTCATATGTATCATCCGCCTGCCGTAGACAACCTCCACGTCGACAGTCATGGGAGGTTAAAAAAAAAAACCTGTAATCGTGTGCCGATGCCTCATTACAACAAAGCAACCAAGTGGCAATTTTTAAGGCGGTAGACGGAACCTTGATATATGGTCCGTAATGTAACTTTTCAATTATATTGATCTAAAAGGGGTTACTGTGCTCGAGGGCGTCTTGCCATTCATGAGCGTACTTAAAGGCCGTAAGTTTTATTCATGGCAAGCAATGTGAAGCATTATTGAATCTTAACCGCCGAGGCCGCATGAAAGTGTAAGGCAGACTCACGGGCAGACCGCAGAGTTTCAATGGTTTAGATACCTCGGAAGCTGATAGGAACATGTGGCATTGAGAGTACTATTTTCTCTTCCCTCATTTGGCCTCGCCCTAAGTGGCCAAGGACCACCATTGAAATTATGAAGAAACAAGCCTTTCCGAAGCCCCCCTAAGCATTCCGAGCCCTACCACGAAATAGTAACCACTAGCCCGCGTCGCGGTAGCAGAAGGCAAGGATAACTTTCATACAGCAGCTAGGATGCTCAAACAGAAAGACACTAGGGATAACTACCAACACATTTCGGGGCAATGGTTAGCGAATGGCACAAATCTACTAAACGCTCGTGAGAAATGTACTCAGGTAACATGAAAAGATACCCCTGGACCCATTCAACAGGAAATGGCCCGATGATTGTGCACGAAGTTGGCGCAGCATAGGCCTCAGCACTGTAAGAATTATAGAATCTCATTGACAAGCGTAGTGAAAACGACGCTAACGCCGTCCTGACCGACAGTGACCACCTCCATAACCTATAGTGATAAGTTATCTTGACTTCCGCTTCTTGAACGGGCCCTTACATTTAACAGATCCTACTTCCTAGGTCCCTAGACCACTAAGATGCTTAAAATGAGGAACCTCTAGCTATAATTAGGTTTCTAATACTGTTCTAAATATTAGTATCGTCTAAATACCTTAGGTACCTAGTTAACCAGCGCAATATCTGAAACAGGTTCGTGGAGTGTGGCCTCGGGAAAGATAACGTGCTTCGCGACACGGGCCGAGTTGAAGATTTCGGCCTTCCTAGTGGTGTTTGCTAAGCGCCAAAGGTAATGCCCAGCTGTGCACCGAACTTCGATGCAACATTGCATCCTAGTAAGAATTCCGCTTTAGGCTTCGAACATATTATGTATCGTAACATAACTTTTATATATATATACCTAAGTAAAAGGCCCTTTATGAGACCTTAAATCATCAAAGGAATACTAAGCATACAACTTTAGCGAGCTGCCATGCTTTAATTATTGTGCTCAGACCACCTCGGGCTCGTCAAAGTTGACTAGGGGGGGTATGGTGGACGGTTAAGACATTTGTGCCAAAATCAGGAAAATAGGTCGAAGCTTTCCAAAAAGGGTAATATAACAGGTGCACAGTATATTATGCGGGGTATATACAAAATAAAATATATAATTTTTCATTATTTTTATATTAAATAAACGTAATTCGGCCAATTAAATTAATTGTTAATTTAATTTTTAATTATTTTATATATATTATATATAATACATTTAAATAACTTTTTAAAAATAATAATTTAAACGTTATAATTAATATTATTTTATAATTTTAATTAATGTAAAAACAATGATTTAAATTACATTTAAATCGGCTTTTTAATTATTATGTTATAATAAAATTAAATAACGTTTATTTAAAAAAGTAAATATGTAATAACTTTTAAATAAATACGTAATATTTTTTAAAAATATTTTAATAAAATCATTTTAAATAAACTTTAAATATTTTAATAATAATATAATATTTAATATATATTATATAAATATGTAATTTAATTTATTATTTTCGCATTAATTAAAGTTATAAAATAATATTAATTATAACGTTTAAATTATTATTTTTAAAAAATTATTTAAATGTATTATATATAATGTATATAAAATTAAATTAATAATGGAATTTTTTAATTAATTTAATTAATTAATTTTAAAAATTAATAATAAAAGTAATTTAAATAATAAAGTTTATATAATTATATATATATAATTATATAATTTTTTAATATTTTTATTAATTTTAATTTAAATTATATATAATTTAAATTATAATTTTTATTATTTTTTAATTAAAATAATAATGTTTTTTAAAAAAAATATAAATAAATATTTGTAAAGTTATTATAATATAAGTTAAAAAAATGTATGTATTATTTTATAAATTATATACATAAAATAAATAATCGAGTTTATATTATATTGTCAAATTAATCAATTTTATTAAATGATTTAAAATCTTTGATTTTTTTATAATTATTTACATTTTATACGTTTTTACAATTTTAATAATAAATAATTAAATTATTAATAATTATATTAATATTATTTTAATTATTATTTAATTATACGTATTAATTATTTGATAATTAAAAGTTTTATATGTTTAAACGTAAAAGTTTTAAAAATATAATTTTAACCGGTACCATTTAACCATATATGTATATTATTATAATAAATTTTAATAAAGTTATTAATAAAATAATATTTATTATAAATATTATTACATTTATAAAAAAGTTTAAATTAACTTTTTTTAATAATTAAAAAATTTAAAATAAATAATTTATTAATTTAATAAAAAGTTATAAATTTTAAAATTAAATTAATTTTAATAATATTAATAAAAATAATAATTTAATTTATAACTTTTTAATTATTTTAAAAATACTTAGTTTAAATAATTATAATAAAAAACCATTAAATTAAACTTTTGTTGTATGGGGTGGATAGTTGTGGTTGTGGTATAGTTATTATAACGGTTATGGGGAGTTGTGGCGTTAGTTATAATTATTATGTAATTAATTAGTTATATAAGGGTTGTGTTATATGTAATTATATTTTAGATAATTTAAATTTTTATATATTATTTATAATTATTATATGTTATTTGTGACATTATTATAATTTTTAATAGTTATAAGTTTAGTTTGTGTTTAAGTTTTTAATAAAGGTATATTAGTAATAAATGTAAATTATTTATTTTATTTATTTTTTTTTTTATTTTATATAGTTATTTTTAAAGTTATAACTTTTAAAGTAATAATGGATATATATAGTAAAAATTTATTTAAAGTTATTTTTTTAGTTTTAATAGTTTATTTAAATAATTGTTATAATTATTTTTATTAAATTTTAAAAGTGAAATAAAATATTATTTAATTTAATTTTTAAGATTAAATAAATTTAAATAAATATAATACTATTAAATATATTATTATAATTAAGATTAAAGTTTTTATTTTAAAATTTGTTAAAGATAAAAAGGTTTTTATTTATAAGGTAATTATAGCTATTAAATAAGGTAACGGTATTTTTATATAAAATATTTTAAATAATAATATTATTATATTAATTAATAATAAATTTAATAAATTATTTAATAAAATTTAAAAATATTATATAATTGTTTAATTAAAAGAAATAATTAATATTTTGGCTATAAATTAAATGTTTAAATATATTTAAAAAACGGTTAAGAAAAAAATTTTATTATTTATTATATTTAAGTGTATTAGTAACGATTTAATATTAGTAGTTGATATTTTTTATAAAATTAAATTATATTTTAAATTTATTAATTTATTAGTTATTATAAAGTTAAAAAAGGATTATTATAGATATTTTTAATAAATTTATATTAGTAAGATAAAGTTTATAAAGTAATTTTTTAAATAATAAATGTTGTATAAAAATAGTTATATTTATAGGATTTTAAAAATCAAAGGAAATGTTATAATTTTGGATTTTTTAAAAGTTATTAAAGTTTATTGGGTTATAAATTAAATTATTTATTAAATTAAGGAATTTATGGTTATAAAGTAAATTAAAGAAATTTCGAAGTTGTTAATAAAATTTTTTTTATAATTTTTAATTATTTTAAAGGATAATTTTATATTTTAAGGTTTATTTGCGAAAGTTGGTGTATATTTTGTGAATATGTTATTTAATTTGGATTAAGTTAATATTTTAAATATAACGGGTTAAGGAAATAATTATTTTTGTTATAATAATTTAATAAATATTTATTTATAATAATTTATTAGTTATGGAATCTTTTAATATATTATTATTAAAAAATTTAATTGTTAATTAATTAATATTTTTAATAAAGAAAGGTATAAAATAATTAAAAAGTGTTATTAATTTATTAAATAAAAAGTGTTTTAAGTCGAAATTAAATTAAAAGGTTGGTATATTAAACTAAGATATAAGCTTAACGGTAAAAAATGTTAATTAAATAATAATAATAAGTTAAACGGTTAATTAAATAATTAAAGAAATTATTTTAGTAATTTAATAATTATAATTATAATTGGTAATATAAAGATTTAATATTAATTTATTTATGAGGTATATATTATATTAATTTAATTTAATCGTTATTTATTAATTGATAATATTATTTTAAATATTTGTAATAAGTTTTATTTAATTAATGATAAGGTTTTATTAGAATTTAATATATAAATAAAAGTTAAAAGTAAAAAAATGGTGGAAATTAAATTATTAATTTTATTTATTATTGGTTAAAGTATTAAAGTAATGAAAGGTATGTTTAATAGATTAAATAAATTTAATATTAAAAATTTAATATTAATTAATATAATTATTATGGAGGGATTTTATGTTAATATTATGTTAAAAGTTATTTTTAAAAAAAAGGTAAAAGTATAGTATTGCGGTAAAATTTGTATTTTAAAATATGGATTATAAATTAATAATAGGATTATTAAGCGGTTAGTTAAATAGTTTAATTTTTTATTTTTTAAATATAAATTATTTAAGATTTATTTATTATTTATTTATATTTTAATTATATTTTAACTATATATTAATATAACTAATTTTATAATTTATTTTATATTAATTATAATAAAAAGGTTATTTATTTTTTTATTAAAAAAAAGGATATTAAGGATTTATAATATTTTAGGTTTGATTATTTAAGATTAAATATTTTAAAAATTTTAATGTATAATATTAGAAAAATAAAGATTAAAGGGAAGTTTATAATTAAATGTAAAATTTGCGTTAAAATTTAAGGTAAACATATTATTTTTAAAAAGAAATTAAAACGTTACTTTTTATAACTATTTTGGAAAATATTTTAGAATTTATTTAATTTTTTTATAAAATATAATAAAATATTATAAATATTAGTTATATTAAATAAATATTTGGGATTTGTTATAATTTATATATTTTTTAATAAGATATAAGATAACGTTATATTAAAAGTTAGTTAAATAAATAGTTAAGTAAGTTATTAGTTTAAGTTAAAAATATGTAAGTTAAGATATAATAATGATATTTTAATATTTGATATATAAAGAATAATTTAATATAGTTAATAGATATTTAAAAAAGGATTAAATTTAAAATTATTATTATTTATAATAAAAGAGTTAATAAATAAGATTAAAAGATTAGGTTAAAAGTTTTAAATTAAATTTATTAAAATATAATTAAGTATTAATTTGTTAAAAGAATTGTGGTTAAAATGTATAAAAGTAATAATTTATTTAATAAATTGGAATTTTAGTTAAAAAAACGGTTATAAATTATTATTAAAGATATTAAAAAGTTGGTTTTGTTAATATTTTAAATGGTATAATTTAAAAATAATAAAGGTTTTTATAAATAATTTAAAATTATATTAAAGTTATATTTATATTTACGGTTGTAAAGTATATTTATTAGATTGAAATATAGTTAATATAAAAGATAAGTAAAGTAAAAAGGTTTAATTAAAAATATATATAAGGTATTTAATTAATTATAAAATTATTAATATATATTATATATAAGTTTTTTATTAATAAAAAGTTATTTTAATAAAAGATGTTTA